TCACTGGAAAAATATTAACATACAGGATAATTCATCTGTATGGTATTTTAAGTTATGTAATTTAAAACTGATCTACACTTCCTAGTGGAACTAAAAATGAGGAAAACTAGTAAGAAACCTAAATTTGTTAATCAGCTGATGTTATAGAAGAAATTAAAGTTTAATATAAACTCCATAAGCAATGTTAAGCAACTTAGATCCAAACGTTTTTTCTTCACATCTTGTGAAGCTCCGATGTATATATATCTTTATTTGAAGATGTAAACTAAGTTTGCTTTGTAACTAATGCTATCCTTGTCAAAACTGTTATAGTTGTATAACCGATGGTTTGAAAAGATGCACTTCAAAAGTCAGGAAATAGCTACACCACTCAGTTAAGTGGAAATTTCATAAAGCATACATTCTAATTACTGAAGAACATAAGTGATTTAATATAAGTACATTCATAAATGATGGAGACAAGAATTAAAATATAGAAAAAGCTTTGATTTTTAATAGTTTAAACCCGTTCTTCAGTAATGATTTAAAAGGTCTATAACTAAGTGTCTCATGGATATTAGACAATCTTTCACTTTCACAATATGGTACAAATTATGAAGGCTTCAAAGTCTTCTTATGTGTAATTATTAAAATTATATTACTATTTCATGATTATCTGAATACTAAATTTATGTAAAATATTTTGTTTAAACAGATGAAATAAACATTATACTTAGATTTTATTATAAGATCTCGTTAGAAACATACATAAATGTGTGTTAATTTCAAATTGATGAATTGAATCCTCAGTTTTAAAATGTTAACTTAGTAAGTTAGATAAACGACCATCAGTCATAAATTACAAATATTTATGCAATACTAATTTACCTGAATTTTGTGATATTTAAAAGTTTATATTTTAAATCAAATAGGATTTTGTCAATAAGGAAGTTTTCAATAAGATACTTGACAGCCATATTTTTTATTTAGTTTATATGCTACAGAAAATATATTTTGATCAATTTATTTTCTTCCTTTTAAATCATGTCATAAATCTATTGAATATCACAGACGAAAGGAAACAAATATTGTTTATTATCAGAAGAGGTTTTTGTGGATATTATAGTAATTTGATAGTTGATTTCATGAGTCAATTAAAGCTAAGCCATCATGGAAAACGTGAAAGCATTGGACAGCTGTTTCATCCTACTGTGAGAATTCTCAACAGTGCGCACCCATGACCCCGAATGGCTCGTGAACACTCAACACCTATAGCACTAAGCCGGCATCCTTCAGTGTTCATGTCTAACTTCAACCAATCCACGAGATTAAGCCAATCTTTATCATTGTCTTCATTGAATTACTATTCTCACAATAGACCTGATTGAACTCGATAAAATTAACCTACATTAATATCAATCAATATTTAATAAATTTGTCAATGTTTATTAATATACTACTTAAATTTACCATTATACTATAGTGTTTAACAGTAAAATAGATTAATTTAATATAGAAGTAATTTCAAATATCAATTAGTAACTTATCTTGTAAAAAGAATATACATGAGAAAATTTTAAAAAATTTCTATCTCTTTTATTCAGATAATATTTTGATAGTTTAGACAAAAATGTACCTCCATTCACTTTTAGGTTCTATTTTGTTTTTTATTGTGTTTTTTTATGCTAAAAAGAATGAAATGACATAGAAACAACTAAAGATGATAGAAAAAAAAATTTTTTTTTAAAAGAGAAAAATTGTACAAATCAATTTGTCAGATGTAAAAGACAAAATAGTTTTTAAAAGAAAAAGTCGGTTAACAGCTGTAGATGAAAAATACATACGGGAAAGTAACACAAAACAAATGCTTATTCTTTCCACATCTCTTCATGTATAAACTATACTATTATTAAATAATTCATAAATGTATATTGGTTGTTACGTACGTTCACTATTGAATATATATGTATATATATGTATAGATATACAAGCAGAGAGAAATGAATTGTCATTGCTTATAAAATGTATTTTAAAAAATGCAGAAATATACGAGAAATAATTACTATTTTATAAGTCTGTTGATGTTTTTTAAAAGTACACCAATTTTCTATTAATTTAATTTATAATAATTTCTTAAAGTTTTCTTTATAAGGAAAATTATTGAACTCCATGCTTGACATACTTAGTTTATATTTATTTTAGAAAGCATTCTCAAATTATAAGAAAATCTCAATAGTTGAGATCATGAGTCAATTAAAGCTAGACCATCATGGAAAACCTGGAAGCATTGGACAGCCGTTTCGTCCTATCGTGGGACTCCTCAGAAGTGCGCATCCACGAACTCGCCTGGCGAGATTCGAACAAAGGACCTATCAGTCCCGCACGCCAGCACTGAGCCGGCATCCAACGGTGTTAATGTTTAATTTCACTGATATCTTTCAATTATATCAGATTGAATAATGTCCGATAGTCATTTTCAATAATACAGTCATTCATTATCAGATATGTGTTAGATTAAATCTACATTTGGTTTAATTCAACTCGTATTTTATTCGATAAATATTTGAAAGTAATTTACATTTACAAGCCCAATGAAATGGTTGTTTTCTGAATATGATTTATTTGGATCATGTAAAAATAACTCAACAGTAATATTCAAAATAGTTTTAATAAATGATATGGTTTTATGTTCAACATGACGTATTGGTCTTCTGCAATTCAAACAATTGTTACACTAATGAGTGTTGATAAAAAAACGAAATTATTTAATCGTTTTGTATATCAGTCAACAAAGGTATACCTAACTTTAAGAGAAGGTAATCTACTATGTGAAGGAAAAACGAAATACACTTATAAAATAACAGATCTGTATATATTAATATTGCAAACAATAAAACATGAGTTAAATACTATCATATCTTTAATAATATTTTTTATCATGATGACAAAACAATAAACTATGTAGAGACTTTGGAATTTCAAAGAAATCACGAACCGGTCAATTTTAGATCACCATTGAGAACCTGGAAGCTCTGCATAACCATTTTTTTCTAGTAGGGGATTCCTCAGAAGTGTGCATTCATAATTCTGTATCCAAGATTCAAACTCGTGAACTTCGATCTCGCGCACGAACGCTTAACCTCTAGATCAGTGAGCAGATATCTAACGGTGTTAATATCTAACTATATTCAATTCACGATGTCGAGTGACTATCTTCCACTGTCTTCAGTAGATAAATGTCTCACATCCGACACAATTGATCTCTACCGGTTACCGCATTCAATGGAAGATGGTCTCGCAACATTATGAATTGATTGAAGTTAGACACGAACATTGTTTGACGTCAGTTCAGCCGTCTGAAATTTGAGCATTCAAGTTCAATTCACTTACCAATTATAATTTTTTTCAAAAATGATAATTTTTAATTACAAGTTAATAACAATTTAGAATAGAAAAAATCATAACACTAATTTACAATAATCTTGATTTTCTTTCTCACTTAAAATTAAACCATTTTATATATTCACACTAATAAGTTCCAACTTTATTGATTCAATTGATTAGTTTTGTTTTTGTTGTTGTTGGTTTATTGGATTAGTTTATGATTATCTTCCGAATTTTATTTTCTTGTATTTCTAAATGTTTCATTTATTTATCCCTTGTGTATAGTAATTTGTATGTAAAAAAATTTCTTTCTTTCTTTCAAACTACGTTTAGTTAAATCCGGTCATTTTCAAAGAAAAAAATATATCAGTTTAGGGGTTGTGAAGATCAGGTATTCCATGGTGGCCTAGATTCAATTGACTCATGATTTCAATCAAGAACTTAACAATCTCCACCTGCGCTATGTTGAGGAGTCCCACACTGGGACGAAACGGCCGTTTAGTGATTCCAGGTTTCCAACAGTGGTCTAGCTTCAATTGACTCATGACTTTAATCAAAATATATATATATATATATATATATATATATATATGATTGTAATAAACATGTAAAATATCCATAGTGACAAAATGAGTTTTGCATAATATTATGATGGAAAAATGAAATAAAAATTTCAAATTATGTCAAACAAATCAATTGAAAGAATTATTTTACCGGATTCCATATTCAGATTATTATTTAGTTATAAACATACACATAGATACATATACATACACACCCACCCACACATTGAATGTCCATTTTACCATTCCCTTAAGAAATTGAATAATAATTTCACTAAATAAATAACTTAATGAAATTCAATTATAAAAATTAGTTTATAATTTAAAAAGTTAATCGAAGATAATACATTTTATTATATTTAATAATCATCACAAGATTATGGGCTTCTTTTTTCTCAAATGATCTTCTGTCTTGTTTTTATTGCTTAAATTCGACATTCTCTTATTATAAACTTACAATTTCTTACTTTCAAACAATCTTGAGTGATTAACTGAAATGTCCGATTTATAATTTTGCTTATAGATGTTTTAATATTCAATGGTTTTCATTCAAAGTTCACTTTCATACTTAAAAGTGTATAAAATCTATTTCTCAAAGGAATAATACATTTTTTTATGATGTAGTTCTAGGACAATTTTTCAATGTGAACTCACTGAAGTCTTACTTAACTTTTAGTTTTTATTGCTTATTTATGATTATCTATGCTTAAATTTAATAGATTATGACTTAATTTTATGATGAACTATAAGCAGTAAATAAGAAGGATGTTGAATCTAAAAGATTATGATTTGCGGTTTTTTATTGTTTAAATCAATAACAATATAAATATTGTCTAATTTTTTCTAGATGTGTTTAGATAAAGAAATGAATATATAACTCATAGGTTTACTTTAAATTGTAATATGAAAGAAGTAGCATAATTCCTTTGTTTTTGTTTCACTTATTACAAATATTGTAACTGATACGATATCAGCAACAGTTAAAAGTACAAAGATATTTAAAGTTAGTCATTACATTCAATTAAATGTCATGAGATTGAATTCTTGAATGTATTAAACTTTACATGTGTTGGAATGTATTTTATAAACGTGTTGAAAGAGAACGTTGGCGATAAACATTCAGATGAACTGAAAGGTGTATATAGAGAAGGCCAGATAGCAGAGCTTATCGTACAAGAATATGAAAAACGTCTACCACTCAGTAGAGTAAATCAAATGCTTGATACAAATCTTGGTCGTTTCAAATTTTTATCGTTTCATATTTTAGGTGGTTATTTTTCCATTCACATTGGTCATTACCATATTCTTGGATGTGGCACGTGTAAACACACGTGTCATCAAATTTGTAATGAAAATCAAACAACATGAATCACATGAATTAAAAACAACCATGTCCATCATTAAACATTTTACAACATCAGATTTATCAATTTTTGAAATCGTGATGAAACTAATTAGGTATTATGGTATCCAGCTGGTCTACGATAGGTGCAAGTTTAGGAAATACCGAATTATTATGATAAGATGGTTCTACTTTTGACTCTGTAATAGCAACTGGTATAGAACACTTCGACAATTAGCTGTTAACACATGAGAAAGATGGTTTGTATTTAAAAAATTTGCAAATCGAAATAATTCAATTCAATACATGAAGTTGAATTAGGAAGAAAACATTTACAGAAGTAGAGTATAACGGAAGAACCCTAAAGAACAATTGAACGAAAATGGAAAAAAGACATTTTCTTTCGTGGATATTATTTGGTAGGGCTGTACAATCATATTTACAATTCTTATATATATATATATATATATATATATATATAATGATTTACATCTTTTATTGTGTATTGTTTCGTCATACGTCCTTTCATATTTTTATCCTCCTTATAATCGTCTGATTTTTATTGTTATTACCCTTTGACTATTGAGTAAATCTAATTCGTAATTAACTCTTATTACCTCTGTTTATGACTCAAGAACTTTTAGTTTCTATACATATACACAAATGAATAGTAAATAGGGTTATACACCATTTGTAATTGATAACATCGAAAAGAAAACTTACTCTCTGATACATCTTCATTGTATTTACAAAACTAAGTAATCCCGTAATCACTTAAATATAGTAAGAATTTAAAAATGAGCAAAACGTTATTTTTGTAATCATTTCAAGCTGTTTACCAATCGTTAGAAAACAAGTTAGATACATAAGTAATTTTTTTGTAACGACTTTTAAATAGCAATTCGATTTTTAAAAAAAGTAAATAACAACAAAGTTCACAAGACTAAAAGCCCTGCGGTCAAATCCCGTGAGTGTGATCGTGGATTCGCACTGTCGAGATGCCCCACAATAGAACGAACGGCAGTCAAGTACTTTCAGGTTTTCAGTGGTGGTTTAAAATTGGTCAGTTCATGATCTCAATCAAAAAAGGCTGTGGAGTTTGGAAAGCACTATTTCAATAAGTTTTCACCAGTATTATATATTCTTGTTTCCTCAGTGCAGAAATCTATTTTTGTTACAGAATCGTCTTCACAGTTTCGCATGTTGTTTACTGCTAAACTAGCTGGGTGAATAAATATTTTTAAACAGTGTTACAATACATTTCAATTGGTTTAACAATCAGATCAATATTATCTAGTATGTTCTAGTCTTAGCTTAAAAATGAAAACAAAATCTGGTATTCGTATTCTCCCAAAATTATGTCAGGATGAAGTAGACATAAAAACCTAAAAGAATGATATATTTTTCATTCTTTTAATCCTTGTTACGTTAAACTCTAGCAAAGCTACTTACTCTTTTAAACATGAAACAAATATTTGGGTCTTTGTTATCAATTTGTGGATTATCATCCATCATAACACAGTGAATTTCACAGTAAAACTATTTTCTGTTCTCCATGATTTACATTTATAAATTCATTTATAATGTTTCCATAGCAGGTTTTTTTTGTAAAATGAACAAACTATCCTAAGCTTTTATTAACTTACAAAATACTCATGAATAAATAATCATATCGTAAACGAATGTTAGTATTTCGAAATAACAAGTGGAGATTTATAGTATTTTAGTTTGTACGAAAGGCAAATAGAACATACCTACAAAAAATGGATCATATGGTTTATTCACTTCCTGACCCATGATGAGAATTTGAATGTAAACTGTTAATAATATTATGTTGATAATATAGACTAATATGCATGAAATAATACGAAATGTTTGCTACAACTTATTAGATCTATATCTTTTATTTCGATAAGCTAGTAGCAGTTGTAACGCTATAAATTCTCTGATAGACAGAAGGATTAGATTTTAGTATGTAAAGTTGTGGAGAGTTTTAGATTTACACCACGAATTAACTTTTGTTAAACAACTGTTGAAAAGTTAGAAAACAATAGGCGATCGTCTTGTCTTCATATGGAATTGCTCAATAGCACCCATTCAGTATTTCACCTAGGATAGTACCAAGAATTTCCAAGGGTCCATATGTTTATAAGTCTGATTGATTATTATCTAATCAATGTCCAAATATCACTATGTTTTATGTAGAATGACTAATAAAATATCAGAATAATGTTTCTAAACAACGTTTGCTCTGTAACATTTTAAATATTCTTTATAGCACATTTCATTTTGCAGGTATTTAGGGGAATATTCTTAACCATCTCATAATTATATGATAAAAAGACGTTTTATGTCAGACAGTAATTAGCGATTACTTGTAACTCTAACACTGAAAAGACAAACATTACGACAGAACTAATTTAAATTTATTACCATTAAAGTTATTACTTACTTATTACTGAAGTATGAAATAGTTGCTCAATCTGGTATATGCTGGAGACACATATGATAGTAGATTATATTTTCCAAGCACTTAGACACAAGTACAAGTATTTATAAATAGTTGTCTACGCAAGATACTCAACATCCATTGGCCGGATACCACCAGCAACAGCCTTCTCTGAGAGAGAACAAACCAGCTTCCAGATGAAGAGGAAATTCGGAAAAGACGATGGAAATGGATAGGACATACATTACGCAAATCATCAAACTACATCACGAGGCAAGCCCTCCCCTGAAGGGGAGCGGAAAAGAGGGAGGCCAAAGAACACATTACGTCGGGAAATAGAAGCAGATGTGAAAGGGATGAATAACAACTGGAAGGAGCTGGAGTGGATTGTCAAGGACATGGTTGGATGGGGAATGCTGATGAGCGGCCTATGCTCCTTCACGAGGAAGTAACAGGCGTAAGTAAGTAGATATGCACGTTTAATAAAACATATTATTACAATTAAGACAGTTAGTGTAGACAAAAAATCTTAGAACATATCTTCTTCTGAAGAGAATTTTTATCATGGTGTGACATAATCTTGGGAAACTACTCAAAACTAAACAAGACTGTGAGGTGAGTTGTACTAGTAAGGGAGTTATTAATCATGGTAATTTAAAACCCTGATATAAAATAAGCAAGAAACGTTTTACTTCGTAGTAAAAAAATTCAATACTTCACGTCTTTAGTTTAAATCTATTTGTGATACAGTATAACTCTTCTTCATATATGTCTTTGTATAATTAATAAAAGATAGTAATGAATATTAGACTGGGAAAATTTGATACAATTAGATATTTCATTTAAACTTGTAACTTATTAATGATCATAAACTCAGTTATTTCTTGTAGGTGTTTTACTAAATATCTCGTACAAGCGTCTGATAGAATGAATTAATATTCGTGATTTTGTTTTAAATCAAAAGTAATAATACCATTGATGTTAACAATTTATTATTGGTTTTAAATGAATTGAAGTCCTAGAATTGCTTCTTAAAGTTATTCACTAGTAAGTGCGTATTTATTTTTAGTATTTGAGATTTTTAAGATTTGTTGTATATCGCTAAGAATGAAACTGAAGTTCGTAGGTTCGATCCTAGTCGAGGTCGTGGATACCCAATGACAAGGAATTCGTACTAAGACAAAACATATGTCCATTGACTGCTTTTTTAATGGTCTTCTAAATTATGTACACTATGAAAATTCACTTATCTCAATAAATTCCCTACGCAAATATTTAACCACCGATAATTTCGAAACAGTTTGTAATTATTATCAACTAGTAAACATAAATTAGAATAAACGAACCTGTTTTAGCTCAACAAGGGACCTTAAATTAAAAATAAACCGTTTGTAGGATTTTCATAACTTTAAATCCAGATGTCATTATATTTAAGACAGGATCCGTTTAACCATAAATTAATTAAAATGTTTCAAATAAATAAATACGTTATTTTAGGTAAAGTTAAATCCATATGTAAAATGTGTTCATACATATCATCCATAAATTTGGTTTATGAACAAATGGGTTAGAATTTGGACGGTAATTTTAGTATTATTTATGGTCGAAAGTATAATCAGAATGTGTCTTATGTAAGAAACACACAATCTAAGTTTCATAATTTTCAAGCAAATAACTGTAGTTTAGTGACGCAAAACATGAAAAGTGATTAACAAAATGTAACTTAGTCTATATTATTAGGTTAATACCAAAGGAACTGGACATACATAACATTATATACGATGTAGTTTTTAATCGTATTTATATCTCGATTCTACATGGAACTGAACGTTGAGTAGACGGCGCATTGATATCCCTTCAAACTGTGACACCACTTGAGGAAGGGTGGAATTTGAATAATAGTATCGTTTTCCTGACATTCGCGTTAACGGAACCTGACAGTTTGATGAGACCTTATCTAACCAATGGTTAAATAGTGACCAATATCACATTTGTTTACTCTTTAATGTCTATTGTTTCTTGGAGATTATCTCCTACCATCTAGAATCAAGACAAAATCTAGGGTGATTGCTTCCTGTTACGTTCATTGAATTGTCTAGTATCAAACGGGAAATAAATTATCCAGTATGGAAATGATAAATGAAGACCGTTTGTGACAGAATGTTCCTAGTTGAGATGAAATCAGACACATTATACAAATTTTCAAAAGGAGAGAACTATTATAAACGGGAACATAATCCAACAATAGTAATTTGATCTAGAAAATGAAATACTAACATACTTGTCAACTGTTTTGTGAAATCGGACACTAAACAAACTCAAAAGTTGAAAAAAACCCGTGAGCGAATAACGGCGAATCCGATCGGAAAGTCTTTTCGTTCTACTACATCAAGCGTACATGAAAGGAAAGATGTTTACTATTCGGTTACATAGCATAAGCTTGATGGGATAAGAGCGAGTCATCCTAAATATCTGGCAGTACAAATAAAAATATTCTGCCACGTGAATGTGTGCTACCGATTATTCAAATATAGAATATGGAATGCATAGCTGGTTACACTGCTAATTTTTTCGGGA